CCCCATCACAATCGACTTGAGAATGGTCCAAGACGGACCGAAACGTCGTCGTCCCTTCAATTTCTAGTGTGTGGTCTGGTCAACAATAGACTATTGGTGTCCGTTAACCTATGTATCTAGCTCGTCAACGCTCTTAACTTATTTACTTGGTTCAATGAATGTGTATTTTAGTTCCCGAACCTGTAATATGTATCTAACACTTCACTGCCGCTCTCACCATGGGTATGGGGCTCATAATAAATGAGCAAAAAACTAAATGTTAGAAACGTCTGTCTATTGTAGGTCTACTAGGTCAGGTAAGGTAGGCCTTATTTATGCCTAACTGTTTTCCTTCGTGTGATTATCCAATTACTAAGGTAGCTAGATTATTTAAATTATTTGCTAACATTTCTAACCATCTACGCTGTCTTGCGAGCACACACAAAACATGCCTTGCAAAAAAAAAAAAAATCTACCAGCACAGCACGCTCCTGCCTATCCTAACAAACGTGAGCAAAAATCATGCCGGTGGCTGTAAATGTCTTCCCTAATGTTAGCACGGTTCCTGTAGCCTTGCCTTCTTGCTACCAACTCGCTCCGAGAATCCCCCTCTCTGTATGGTATGTGGCTTCTGACATTTAATTTGGTATTGCGTGATCTGCCCTCTAGAATCCGTTTCCGTACTCACCTAGTTGTGCTTGCGGGGGTTGAGCTTTGGCGCTCTGGTCCCGCCTCTCAACTGGTGAGATTGGTCTTGTGTGGCCTTATTCTGGTACATTACTGCAAGTGTGTGATGCAAACTTTAGTAGTGATTTTTATTTTATTTATTTTAAAGTATTAAATGTAACGTTTGTTTTGAGCAGTTAACAACGGTGACAACCGCTAATTTATGTTGGGAATAAGCAATTAGTTTTGACACCGTTTGAAGGCATTTATTTAATGTTTAAATTGAACTGTTTAAAATATAAGCACACCTACATGCGGTGTAATTTGACAGTAAAACCATGCACTGCGCAGTTGTTCTGATGTAACAAACTAGGCTGTTGTAAGAATTATCCAGAGTGGTTTATCGACAAAAGAGAATGGGAAGCTGAGCCCGCATGGTGACCTGACCCCCAGGGGAATTCGCGGTGGAAATAACCGACGCTTTGTTCATAGCTGCGTATAATGAACCATCCTATAGTATTCAGTAATTTAGAGAAAATTAGCCTTTATTCATTTTGCATTAAAATTGTATTGTATAATAGTACTGGATACAATATCAAGAGTATTCTAATTATTGAGTTTAAGTCACCATCAGTGACGTCACGAATCAGATCTAACTTGTAAGGCGGAGTGACCGGCGGTCATAGGTCATCAGGGGTTGACATGTCTACTATTTCTCAAAGTTCAATTAACCATTTTTGTGATCGGGAACAGCTCTGCCGTAGATGTTTGTGTAATTTAATTTTAGTAAAATAATTCAACCAGTCTGGATCAATTAAGTACAACAGAGGTTAATTGTTATAACTTAAACCTTGCTAGTAACTTGGTAGAACTTTGACTAGGCGAAAGGATACAATGTTCTGTCTGGGGTAGACCAGACAAGGGAGAGATCAGTGTGGAAACGGGAGCAGCTGGGATAAGAGGCCAACCATCTTACCTCTCCCCAAGACCAGCCCAACATCTAGAGCTGTGGTCGCCCAAGGTATAGTTGCTATTGTTAATTATAGGGATAGTCTTCTCATTTGCCACTCAGGTCAAGTAGGGAGTGTTAAAGTGACAGGGAGTGAACATATTTAGATTTTGTTTTAGTTTTTCTTTTAATAAATTAAATTTGTTAATATTTTGCATTTTTATTGTTTCCATTTGGTTATGTGTATACTTGTCCTGGTCACGTGGTCCACACGAGGTAGAGTTGGATTGGGCGCCGATTCTAACATCGAATCATTCCCGTGTAATTAATTTCACACTCTTAAGTTTCCACGGTCATCGAGTGGGGATCAAGCCCCAAGGTTGAGTAATTAGCGTGATCGATCCAGACCTCGATCATTGCTCTTGTGATACTGGTCTGGTGGTGGCAGCGTAGAGGCGACTCTAGGGTTTGGCTCAAAGCCTAGGTCACGTCATACTGGGTGTAGAATCCTAAGTCGGTCAATCGTCTTAGGACCACGTGGCGTGGAGTTGGCTTTGGTAAACGTTTTGGAGTCCCTTGGTAGAGAATAAAAAGTAAGAATACGAGTAGAGGGTAAAGAAGGTAGATAAGTAGAGAGAGGTACCCAAACCCGTGTTACACTGAAGGGCTACAATTCAACAGCACAGCGGACAGATTTTCACACCTAGCCTAATCCCTTGACAATGAAGCATGAAGACAGTCATATAGGAGAAAGAAACGGTAATAACGAGTGTTAAATGCAATGAGAATTTATGAACGAAATAATAAGTACGCGAAACATATGTTTATTTGAGATGACTATCCTTAGCTGAAGACGTAAGCTCCTAAGATTTAACTTAATGTTAATTGTTACACTTAACACAACCAACTAGATTCGGCGCAAAGATGAATGGGTGTTTAGTAAACACATGGAGCAAAAAAAAAAAAAAAAAAACTAAGACAACATTCCTACGGGATGGGCATGGGGTACATAATACAGAAATTAAATGAAAAATGGTGGCGAGACTAAACTTCCAAAGTTAAGTCATCTTGTGCCACAAATCCTTCAAGAGCGAGGTCATTCACACAAACACCAACAATGCTGAGGATTGTCGACTCAACACCATTGCCGTTATAAAACCAAAAGGCTTGCCTAGCTTCCCACAACTCTTCAAGGTTGAAGTAACATGTCACATTATGCCAGCAAGAATTAGGTGGCTGTTATCTTTTGAAGAATCGCAACGGTTCATACACCAAGTGTCTAGCCTAAGTGAGAAATAATCCAAACAATTAGAGGATTATTTTACATGGGCTAAACACACATCTCTATCATATATTTTATTGGAATAACGAGTTGCATTGGTGAATACTATAGCGATTAAGTTTGATGATTATATAATTGTTTCTCAGCATGTAGATAGAGCTATTGAAGAAACAGATACAAGGAACCAGCAAGCAGGATGGCAGCATTACGGAACAAGTTAACTACGTCATGTCACAACACCCTTCAAGAGGTGTGGTTGCCACTTCACAATTTATACTGCTCACCAGCTTATTTTGTTTTATTTATACGTCTGGCAAGCATGCATGCATTATTTTATTTATATTATACATACATATACACACACACACATCCACATATATATATATATATATATATATACACACATATATATATATATTATATACATATATACATTTACATATATATATATATAATGTGTTATATTTTCAGCCTTATGCCACGCTATTCTGGTTTTTAAAACGTTTTCACTTAATTTCAATATATACAAATGTTTATTGGATAATAAAATATCCAATTGTTTATATTAAACAAAACACTTCCGCTCTGAAACCTATATGTTTACCTAAAAGAAATGCAAAACACTCAACACACACTACCATGTTTGTATGAAGAATTCTCTCCAGTGAACCCAACTGAGTGGAAGGTCAAATCCATAAAGTTTAAGCCAATTCTAAAACAGTGTTGCCAACAAGTACGCGGGTTGGGGTAGAGATAGTTTGAACAGAGCTCCCTTATAAGTTCGGGTTGGTAGTCTATATTTAACGAAACTAACAATCTTTGGTGGGTTATTCAATTACGTGGGACCTGTAGCGCAGTGATCTACGTCCTCGCCTCGATATCTAGGACCCTGGGTTCGATCCCAGAGTTGGAAACGGTTGGGCACGTTTCCTTTCACCTGATGTCTCTGTTCACGTAGCAGGATAACGTTAAACGGGCTATGGGTAACCTACAGATTCAGCAACGCTTCTGTGCCAGGTAAGTCCACTACTCATGCTACTTACCCCGCTCCTGTGCCAAGTAAGTTACGGGCTCACCATGGCCCGTGCTACTTGGAACTTGTTCCGAGTAGCTGAATCTATAACAACAACAGGGTAACCTAACCCCCAAGACGAATCAAAACTCTGTAGATCAGTAACAGTGAAATGCCTAGTCTATCTAGATGTTACGACTACTGTACTTGGCACTAATCCAAACGTATCTGGGCGTTGCGTCACCTGCTTTGTTGACCAAATGTAAACAGTCAACACAAGTATTTGCACAACCTGCACCACTGATGGAATGTGAACATATTATAAAATGTACAGAAATTGCCAAATTTCAAATGCCCGTGTCATTTACAATGGTCATTCTACCTGAAATCTCTGGCTAAATATCACATGCAATATTTTATCTCTGCTAGTACTGGATACATGTGGAGGTGCATGATAGACCAACGAAAAATTGTGCAACTAGTGTATCACAAATTAGCCTGGGTAAAGAATAACTATACCCTTGGGCTACCCACACGATGGATGACCAAAAACGCTTTGCTTTCATTTTTGTCTTCGTTCGCAAAGTAACTTTAAAAAGGGTCAAGTCCCACAATTTCGAACATCGACATTGTTGATATTAATCTGTGCTTACTGTATATAATTACCGTATAAACGATAATTACCATATAACCCATATACTGTACCAGTATTTAGAAAATGCCTCGTGTAAAACTCTTAACTTTGAAAAGTGAACCTCTTATTTCTGCATCCTTTCCTAGCTTTTAAAAATAGTAAAAATGGTACGACTAACATTCTTACCCCTATTACAGTTTTACCACAATAAAGCAAAATATATCAATATGATTGTTGGCTTGTCATATACTTGCGTAAGCGGTTGCAGGTTGAGACGTTGTGCAAGAGACTGACTCTGCACTGCCCTTCCACGCCCTCTATGGCCACTTGTACACTAACACACACACACATACATCAAGTCAATTACTTAATGACTGATAAATCCTTAACGAGCCATTCACTGGCAACTTCACAACCTTTGTGAGTGCATTGTACTCTCTCTGTCTCTCAACGTGAACTCAAATCACACAAGACTTACCGTTGAACTGGTCACTACTGGTGCGATGTCAGTTCTGTGGCTGGTGTACATTCCTTGATGGATGTGGAGGCCAGATCACTACACCAGAACTTTCTTTAAGGACATCCAACAACTGTCACACTTGCATAACTAGGCAACTCAAGACTTGATTATCCTTTATATTTCGTTCAATAATGTGAACTACCAAAATTAAGTAAGTCAAGAACAGATTTTTTAAGTGTTACAACACGACTAAAACACACATCCGCAGTTCATAATATATTTCTAAGTCACGATGGCAACGTAAATCCAATGAAGCTTTGATGGCCGTTTGGCCAGAGAGTCCGTACACCTCCACCCGGTATCAAGCGGCAAGCCCAACTGAGGCAGTGGCGGCGACCCAGCTATGGTACACCCTCCCTGGACCAGCCTCGTCCCCCCCTCACACTACCACCTTGCTCTCAGCTGATCTCCCCTGACGTCACCACCCCTCTCCCCTCATCAACCATCCCACACAATCGCTGTCCACCACCGACACAACCATTCACTCTCCCACCCACAGCAGCTCGTGGTATTTTAAACCGTGTGGAAATATTTGCAGCCTTCTGGCTCTTTTATGCGGCTCGTTGCACACTCACGCTCGTTACAACCACTGTGGCCTTGTGACTAATTGAAGCACTGCAAACAAGTGTGTGTTGGAGTGGGTTAAGAGTTAGTGTGTTAACCAACTCACAGGGCGTTCTCTCATGACCATCTAGGGTGTGGTACCATTACCCTGCCCGCACCACACGCCCTGTTACACTCTCACCATCACTCGCCCTCACTCGTGTATGATACGTGCTCATTCTTTGTATAAAAATGATTGTCCTCACTGTTGTATGATACATGGTTGCTCACTGCTGCATGAAGCATGGTCAAACCCAGTCACAGTATTGGGGAGGGGGGGGGGGTCGAAAAAGCTAGGCTTCTAATATAAGAGATTTTAATCACAGAAATAGACTGGCTAAGGAACCCATAGAGGTGATGAGACATGGGAAGCAAAACTGGTAGATGGAGAAGATAAGTACTTACAGAAACAACATATTACAGAACTAAGAAGAGTAAGATGAGAGAGGACCCACCAGCAACACTAGACTTGATGTTTACACAAAATTAGGCAGATGTTAAGAAGATGGAGCATGAGTGACTAGCGTCCGCTGTTATCATGCTTGAGTACATAATGCCCCAAGATAACTTGCCCGAAGCGCTATGCGTACTAATGGCTTTAGGCATAGTATATACTTGAAGACTAAACCCACACACCAGAAAATGAGGAGACGACGACGTTATAGAATATATAGTATATAATATACTTGCTTTATCTAGAAGTATAGAATATATTTGTTTATCTAGAAGTATAAAATATACTTGCTTTATCTAGAAATCCAACATACTGCATGTAACTCATTTTGTAGGTATGTAATTTTTCCTTAAATAAAATTATCATTATTAATGGAGACAAAGGAACTTAATAGACCAAGAAACACACTGAGAAAGAAGAGAGAGACTAGAGACATGGAGACTACAATAAGATGAGAGATTTTCTGAGTAAAGCCTAGTGGGGGGGGGGGGGAAGGGAGAGGACTGAAAGGGAAGACGCCAAATGAGATGGTGGAAGTTATTGCTCAGAAACGTGCAGATGCAATGAAGCTGCAAGATTTTATGCTCAAAGCCAGACCTCACCATACAGCACCGGATAACATATATATACCGAGTTCCCTATCACCTTATCCATTGTTTGATTGGCTTCCATCCTCGATTGATTGATTGATGAAGATTAAGCCACCCAAAAGGTGGCACAGGCATGAATAGGCCGTAAGTGGTGGCCCTTTTGAGCCATCACCAGTATCAATAGATGATACTGGAGATCTGTGGAGATGCGACTGCACCCTGCGTGACGGGAGATGTCTCCTATGTTCCATCCTCATTATTCCTCTATTTCTATACCTATGTGTGACTTTACCACCCCCCCACACACAAATTCACCTCTCTCACATGTGTATTTAAGAAAAATTTGCACCTTGTATATTTTACGGGCTATTCATGCCCGTGCCATCTCTTGGGTGGCTTAATCTTCATCAGGTAATCAATCTTGTACATTCATTCCTTACCTGAAGATGTTCCAGTGTGGAAAGAAACGTTGTAGAAAATATACCCTTCATTAACTATTAGAGTTTCTTTACGATGAATTTCCGTAACTTGATTCCCTCTTCTTAATCCCGAGAGTAAGAAAATAGAAGCATCGAAACCTTATACTATAAGATAAACAAAGCGGTCTTATTTAACCAAATATATATATTTGGTTTGCTATAAGGTATACCAAATTATATTTTATAAAATATAAAATAAATTAAATACCAATATATATATAGCGTCTCAGATACTATGTGAACAAGGGTGTATTATATATATATATATATATATATATATATATATATATATATATATATATATATATATATATATATATATATATATATATATATATATATATATTGTGACGATAATCTCTTTCAAGAGAGATTGAGCCTGCTCTTCCCTACATCATTACGTCGTACATACAAGATACTATATAAAAGATACGTCCACCAGTATCGCCAAACGTTTTGCCCAGGAAGCAAATCGTACCCTGCACACCTCAACACCTGGCCACAGCCCGCCGTAACCAGCAAACTGCTCATCCTCTGCCTGCCTGTTGCTGATTGGCTGGTGTCTCGTCGCACCTGCACTCACCACCACCACCGCGAGTCGACGTCTGGGCAGCAGCACACCAGACTCGTCAGAATATCTTTGTGCTCCTTGGAGTTGACATCTCTCGCTGGTAGACTAAGCCTTGGCTTTCATGTACTAAGGGAGGTGGCAGCTTGAAGCCAGTATTCCAGCACCCATTATTTAATTTATCTTGCTATCACTATTTTTGCATTCTGGTCTTAGAGTAACCTTTCATTGCCAGTGATTATTCATGTTGTTTTGTTTGTTGACTTGTCCTGCATTTTATGAGATTGCCTTTATTCATGTCTTGTTTTCTAGAGTAATTAAAATTTCATTGTTTATATACTTGTGTTTTGTGTGTCTTCCCATTACCTTACCACAGACGAAAGGACAAACTTTTTTTTTTTGTGATGTGACGAGGCCCTGCCCCCAGCTTTTGAAACAGCCGAACACCAACGCTTTACCGTCACAAAATATATATATATATATATATATATATATATATATATATATGTCGTACCTAGTAGCCAGAACTCACTTCTCAGCCTACTATGCAAGGCCCGATTTGCCTAATAAGCCAAGTTTTCATGAATTAATGTTTTTTCGTCTACCTAACCTACCTAACCTAACCTAACCTAGCTTTTTTTGGCTACCTAACCTAACCTTACCTATATATATAGGTTAGGTTAGGTTAGGTAGGGTTGGTTAGGTTCGGTCATATATCTACGTTAATTTTAACTCCAATAAAAAAAAATTGACCTCATACATAGTGAAAAGGGTAGCTTTATCATTTCATAAGAAAAAAATTATAGTAAATATATTAATTCAGGAAAACTTGGCTTATTAGGCAAATCGGGCCTTGAATAGTAGGCTGAGAAGTGAGTTCTGGCTACTAGGTACGACATATATATATATATATATATATATATATATATATATGTCGTACCTAGTAGCCAGAACGCACTTCTCAGCCTACTATGCAAGGCCTGATTTGCCTAATAAGCCAAGTTTTCATGAATTAATTGTTTTTCGACTACCTAACCTACCTAACCTAACCTAACCTAACTTTTTCGGCTACCTAACCTAACCTAACCTATAAAGATAGGTTAGGTTAGGTTAGGTAGGGTTGGTTAGGTTCGGTCATATATCTACGTTAATTTTAACTCCAATAAAAAAAAATTGACCTCATACATAATGAAATGGGTAGCTTTATCATTTCATAAGAAAAAAATTAGAGAAAATATATTAATTTAGGAAAACTTGGCTTATTAGGCAAATCGGGCCTTGCATAGTAGGCTGAGAAGTGCGTTCTGGCTACTAGGTACGACATATATATATATATATATATATATATATATATATATATATATATATATATTCACGAAATGAACGGTATGGTAAACAACAGCTTAATTCTACCGCAATGTCACACACAATCTAATTAAATCAATTAAAAATAAATCGAAATCTATGAAAATTTAATTTATCAATGCAATCAAAAACATTGAAATGGAATTGCAACATTTAGTATAGTGTGTGTTGCTTTTATGTGCAATAGATGGCGCTGTTTTTTTTTTTTTAAAAAGCATGTTTTTACCTGTCACAGGTGTGGCATCTATATAGTAGGTATATAAAAACATGTGCGTATTCGAATGGAACGTTGTGTCAAAATTTCAAAGCAATTGGCAAAGGACTTTCGGAGATTACAGCGTGTGCTGCTTTTACGAGCAACAGATGGCGCTGTTTTTCCAAAAAGCATGTTTTTACCTATCACAGGTGTAGCATGTATATAGTAGGAATATAAAATAACGCGCGTATTCGAATGCAACGTTGTGTCAAAATTTCAAAGCAATCGGTAATGAGGTTTCGGAGATTTCCCTCGCATGAAAACTCACATGAAAAACAGTTTGTCAAAATACGCATTTTTTACCGGTCACAAACGTGACATCTATATGATAGATATATAAAAACACGCTCGTATGCTAATGGAACGTTGTGTCAAAATTTTAAAGCAATCGGCGAAGAACTTTCGGAGATTAGCGATTTTGAACATGTAACACCCATGCCCCCCCCCCCTTAGAGTTCTCACTCAGGCAAGCCTTCTCCAAGAGGTCAGCCCATATGACCTCCGGATTATCTTGTATGTTGATTAAAAAAATTCCTGGGTTAGTCTTAGTCAGCATAGTTTCAAGCATGTAATATTTCATGATACTCTGGTCAAACATTGCAAGGGAATTAGACCCCAGATTCTTATGTGTAAACATCCATGGATCTCTCCCTTTTGGCCAGGTCAGAGGTCAGTCACACACGTAATTAATAACTCCTCTCTTGAAGAGTGTATGGTGAATGTCAAACAAGCTTATTGAAATATTTTTTAAGTGTTTGTGCATGTGTGGCCCACCCCCTAGCATTCTTGGGGTAGGTAGCAACAGAAAGTCTCCCCCTCCCCCCTGTTGAGTTGTATATAGAGGTCCTGTAGAGACTTAGTTGGAAGAGAGTGCCGGACACCGGGGCCCAGAGAGGTTGTGGAGAACATCGGGAGGGGACAGAAGGAGAGACAGAGGTCTTAAGGTAATGTGTGGGATCTCTGAGGTTTTGTTCCATGTCCAAATTTCTTAAATTTTTGCCAGTGTTAGAGTAGGATTTATAAGT